GAATGGCCAGGGGATCTGATCCAGAAAGCCTAGGGTTCAGCAAGTCTGAGTTTCTGTATTTCTTCCATGATCCATGCTGTAGACTCTACTGCTGGAGGAACAAACTTTGAGTAACAGAGAACAACTTCTAGATTGAAGTCATAAAGTCCTAAATTATGGTAAGAGTGGAAAGGAAAGTGAAAAACAATTATAAAGAAGAGTGCCTTCAGGGCTTAATGGCTAACTGGGCCTGAGGAAGCAAAGAATGGGGCCAAGTATGACTGATCTTGCACCTTATTGACCAGAAGAATTATAACCGTATCAACAGAATTTGGAGAGGTTGTTTGAGAGAAAGATGAGTCCTCTTTTAGAAATGTCCAAGGCCTAGTTGGGATGGCATCTCCACAGGGAAAGGAGCAGCAGACAACTGAGGAGGAGACCGGCACTCAGGAGTTTTGGCATTTGAAGTAAAAGATAAGAGAGTAGAAAGCCAGAAGAGCACAAAGAGAAGAGGATAGATGGTAAAGCTCACTTTAGGGAATAAGAATAGGACAACAAGGGACAAAGACAAGCAGCTTAAAGGAATGTAAAACATCCAGAGAAATACTTGAAAAATCAAGAGAAGAGAGAATTTGAAGAAGGGCATGGCTGAGCATAACAAACACCAGGAATACAGTTAAAACTCATATTGTTGCTAGGTGCTGGTGGCTTACACCTGTAATCCTAGCTACTCAGTAGGCAGATGTCAGAAAGATTGCAGTTTGAAGCCAGCCTAGGCAAATAGTTTTTGAGAACCTATCTCAAAAAAACCCAGCACAAAAATAGGATTGGTGGAATGGCTCGAGGTATAGACTTGAGTTCAAACCCCAGTACTGCAAAAGAAAAAAAAAAAAAAACCCTCATATTGTTGACTGCAAGGACTTTGTAGATTTGAGCAGGATATACTAGTAAGTAGAGGAATTCACTGGGAGTTATGTGGAGAAAAAAGGAAAAAGTTATCCAGGGTGGAGGTTAGTGAAAGTACTAAAATGCCAAAGAAGAGGCATGGTATATTCTAAAAACTGAAACTAATTCAATATGATTAGAGTTTAGAATTAGCATAGTTAAAGCCAGTTGTGATGGGACATGCCTGTAAACCCAACACTCAGGAGGATTATGAGTTCAAGGCCCAGTCTGGGTTATATAGTGAGATCCTGTCTCAAAAATAAATAAATAAACGTTAAAAATTAAAAAAGAATTAGCAGTGCTAAGGATGGTTAGAGAAGAGACTCAAGAGATAGGTAGGAGCCAGAACTTGAAGTACCCATTATGTCGTACTGTTTATTCTATATCGGATACATCAAATGCCTTTAAACGAAGATGGAATAAACTCAGATTTTCTTTTGGTAAGGCTCACTTCAAACACAGTGTGGTAAATAGATTGGAATAAGGAAAATGCTTTTTTTAAATATTATATTCTCCTGACCTGACTTTTACCTTGTTTTTTTCCTGCCTAACTCCATCTTCCAGCTCCCACTCTCACAGTAAACTTTTCTCCCACTGCTTATTCCCTAAATGCTGGGTTCCAGCCTTGACACCAAGGCTAACCAGAACAACAATGGTACAGATGTGACATGATGGAAGAAGAAAGTGGGTAGATTTGTGATCAATTAACCAGAATTGACAGGCAAAGGAAGAGTCAGCAAGAATTTTTCTGGCTTTGAGTTTTAAGATGGATAGTGGTGCATTCACTGAGATAGAGGGACAGAGAAAAATGGATTTTGGAAGGATATAGAGAATTATGTTTGGATATGCTGAGTAAGATGATTGTGAGATGTTCAGGTGGTAACCTTCAGGCTATGTGAGTGTAAAGGTCAGAAAAGAGATCTGAGTAGAGTGAAAGATTTTGAAATAATCAGAATGCAGTTATTCACTGAAGGGGGTAAGATGGTTGAGGGAGAGTTGTAGAGTGATAAAAGAAGGTCAAGGAAAGAGCCAGAAGGCATATCAATATATTAGACATCAGTAAAAGGTGGAATCTATAGAAAGAAAAGCCAGAGAGGTAGGAGAAAAATTAGGATATTATGGAACCAAGGAGAGAGAGAGGAAGGACAGCATAGTCAACAGTGCCAAATGCTGTAAAGATATGGAGTGGATTTCTTAGCAAAAGGCATTGGTGACCATGGTAAAAACACTGTGAATAAAGTGACTGTTGCAGAAGATTTTACAAGAGGATGGATTTTGCACTTCGTTGCAGAAGCAGACCACGGGAGCTAAAGCTGAACTTAGTTTCATGGGCCCCGATGTCATGAGGAACTGTGATCCAGGTGCCCACGCCCATGTCTTCAGTGAGTGACAGTGACAAGCAGTTCAACAGATGACTGGCAAAAGAGGAAGATGGAGTGGATGGCATGAGAATCTAAGGGACGCACAAATTCAGGTGTCCCTTTTGAAGCATTACTGGAGAAGCAAGGGCAGCTCATCCCACCTTTCAGTAACTGAAGCTGTGCAGACGATGAAGAAAAATCAGCATCAACTCTAGGATGCTCTAGGGAAACGGTGAACTTATATCTCATTTGAGAGAGTCAGAGAGAATTGCGTCATGGCTTAGCTTTTGGGGATTTTTAAACCACGACTGAGTGGTGGAGAAAGAAGAGCAAAAAAAGGTTTGGAAAGAAAAGAGCAACAGATACTGAGTTCAGCAACAAGAAGCACACCGCAGTGTGGAGGTGGGTCTGTGAGAGAAAAAGCCATCGCAAGAGGCTTATATGTGGAAAGGTGACCAGGAAGACAGGGTGGGAATCTTAGTGCCATCAACTTATTTCTGATTTTTAACTGATCCCTGGTGGGTGGAAGGACTGGAGCTTCCCTGCACAGAATTGGCTGGCTAATTCGGTTGTGGGGTTTCTTTTATTGTTTTTTTGGTGGTACTGGGATTTGAACTCAGGGCTTCATACTTGCTAGGCAGGTACTATACCACTTAAGCCACTCTGCTGCCCTCAGTTGTGTTTTTGAGAGACTTTTAGCCCAGATAGCACTAGCCCAGTGGAATTATTTTGTTCCCCCCCCTAATCTGACTATGTTGGAAACAGGTCTAACCCTTGGGGTGTGGGAAAACTCTCTGGAAAGAGTTACCCACAGTCTGGCTTGACACTGATGGAGATTTGGTTGTATTGCAATAGTCATTGTTGAAGGAAGAACCCAGGTTAGGATGGATGAACGTGTGACTGGAAGGAGAGGTTAGTCAATACAGGCTAGTTTTAGGACTGTGGCTGTGAAGTGCCATACCTTAACACCACAGGGCTTTGCCATTTACAATACTGTGGGAGATGCAGGAGAAGACAGGAGAGCAGCAAGAACGTGGGAGGCAGTGTTGCTAATTAGTGAGACCTGTCGGCACTTGGGACATGAAAGGCATTTCAAGCTGACCCACTAAGAAGCTCTGTCTCTGACTCAGCCAGCTGGCTCTTCCCTTCCTGTCAGGCTGTCATTTTTAAGCATATATGATGATATCTTTTGCTTAGAGTTCAATTTGGTTCTTCATATTGTCTTTTTCTTTTTTTAATACTGGTGTTTGAATTCAGGGCCTTGTGCTTGCTAGGAAGGCACTCAACCATTTGAGTCACACCCCCAGCCCTATGTTGTCTTTTCTACGAACATTTAAATTTATAATCAACTAGAAGGTTTAAATGTTGATAAGAATTTTGTGCTCTGGTAGCTTAGTGGTTTGGTGAATGGCCAAGTGAATAGTGAGTGTGTGTGTGTGTGTGTGTGTGTGTGTGTGTGCGCGCGCTAGAAGCACAAAGAAGAAAAAGTGTTGGAAAGACTCATAGGACCAATAAACATTTGAAGGAGGACTCCTAAGAAATTTCTCACATTCTTAAATAGCTTGTGAACCTGATGTGTTTGTTACTGGGAACTTACATAGCCACCTACAAGGGTGCTGTAGTAGGTAAGGTCCCCAGGTTCTTGCTTTGGTTGGACCATGCTGCTCCTAAACTTGGCTCCGATGTCCCCATGTCATTGTTAGGTCAGTTCCGGTCCTAGCAACTCTGAGGTTCTTAGTTTTCAAGATGCCATGGTAAAAATGGATTTATCCACACAGCTCTGCATCTGCCATTTTGTCTGTGTCCCCAGGAAAGCTGGCCTGGTCCTTTCTTCTCTAAACTGTCAGAACATGTTCTCAGTTGGCATAGGTCTTTGTAAACATTGATGCGGGTGTTTGAAGTCTCCATTGCCAGTGGCATTGGAAAATAGCAAGAGATACTTAGAATGCTAAGCATTCTTGCTTTCCCTTAAACTTCTGTATCATGGGAACCAAGTAATGTTTTCGGCTTCTGTGCTTCATATCCACAGGAAAGATGTTTAAATAGGGGCCCAGAATATATGTTTTCTTTTCCCCACCACTACCACCACTTTCTTTTCCTTACTATTTATTCTTCATTGATTTTTTTTTGAATAGGATTAATTCTTTTGGTCTCTCTCCATTCTTAATCTATATTGTATATTTCCTTTGTTTTCAACTTTGAATTTAAGGCTTTAAAAAATAGATTTATTAAGATAATAATTCCCTTATTTCCTAATACCATCTAAGAATCTATTTCCCAGTTGGGTCTCCTTGTGTTGTGTTTTAAAAAGGGTTTCATATCAGAGAGTCTGGAAAAACTAAAGGAGTTGTAAACTTTAGAATATCATTTCCAGGTCAACTTTGATCTTATATGCCAAGTTCATCAGTGGGGAAAAATTATATCTTTCACATCTAAATCAAGAACTAGTGTTCCAAAGGAAACTTCAAAGTTCTACTTAAGATTTTTAAGGAAGGGTAATTCCTTCAATATCAAAGAAACAAGATGTCAGGAAAAGCCAGACTTCTTTTGTTTAGGATGTAGTCCAGTTACTTAATTTTCCTTGCCCCCTCTCCTCCCTTTTGTCTCTCAAGAGACACTTCCACTGTATTCTTTTAGATAACTGTTTTTGATTTAGAGGAGAAATCAGCACAGAGTGGCTCAGATGTCCTTAAGTATGATGTCCATTTCTTCCAGCTTTTCATGTTTCAACTTTTGCGGGGCCTGGCATACATCCACCACCAACACGTTCTTCACAGGGATCTGAAACCTCAGAACTTGCTCATCAGTCACCTGGGAGAGCTCAAACTGGCTGATTTTGGTAAGCCGCCCCTCAGGTCTCCTTTTGGCCTGTGAACAACGATGCTTTGTGTGTAGTTGTTTAAAGCATTGACCAAGGCTAGCCTTTGAAAACTGGGAGCCCGGGAACATGATGCTTTGTGAAGATATCAAACTACCATACAGGAAATGTGAGGCAAGAAAGAAAGAAAGCTTGGTAACTTCTTAGGATTCCACAACCCCCAGTCTAGCCTGATGCCCAAAACTTAGGCATCCTTATTTTCCCATGGCCACTTTAATATAGACACACTTGTAGAGTGGGTGGTACTTAGTAGGTTTTCCTGCATCTGAGTGGATATTACAACTTCTGCCAGAATAGATCAAGATTATCTCGTGATAGCAAGATGAAGAAGTTAACGCCAGAGTGTAGCATGGACTCCTGTAAGAATGTACACTTGTTCCTACTCACCTAAGTATTTGTATAAGTGTGATTGTATTCCCAGTAAAGTGATACAGATTTCTTCTCTCATTGTATCTTTCCATTTTAGCACGTACCACCATTTATAATTATATTCACCAAAGTACACATTCACATACACACATATATGTATATGTACCTCTATACACCCATGTACACACAAATATATACATATATTCACATACACACACATACTACATGTACATGATTGTTTCTCCTCTGCTAGACTGTTGCATTATGAGGGTAACTAGAGTCTGGTTTAGCATTGTCTACCTAGTGCCTGGGTGACCATAGTAGGTCCTCAATAAATGTTTCTTGACAAACTGGTTCTGTGTGAACTGAGGAATCACTCTTCTCTGTTTGGCAAGTGTCAAATGGTCAGCTATGGCTAAAGGACTTTATTCTGAGGAGTAGCTTTCATCTTTTCATGGGCACTTAGCAAACATTCATTTACCAATTCTCAACAACAGTGAAATCCTGTTAAGATTTTTTTCCCACTATTGATCCTGCAGTTCTATGAGATAAGCAGCTGAGTGATCACAGAGTCAGAGTAGCAACTGAGAGAAAATCATGTCAGGTCCTATCATGCTGACTAATTTGGATCATCAGTCCCCACCCTTTATCTACTGACCCGGGGGTTAGGAGCTGTGGGACTGCAAGAATGAAGAGTGGACCTATTAGTCCTGAACTCAGTTAGTTTAGCTGTTGTTACAGAACCCCAAATTATAGGGGCAGAGTACCCTAGAAACCAAATCTTCTCTCACCTAAGCAATCAGAACTTGTATGATGGCCCTATGGTACCTTATCCCCAGCTTCATCTGCCACCATCCCTAGGATATTTTCCCTAGTTGCATATTTCAAGATAGTTATCATCTCCTGTTCATCACAGCTCTGAGGAAGGAGAAAGTAGAAGCAGAACACTTAGCCCCTCCATTGTGGGCATGACCTGGAAGTTTACACATCACCTCTGTTTATACCATATTGACAAGAACTTAGTCACCTGACTATACTTGGCTATCACATCTAGCCACAAAGCAGGTCAAAATTTGAGAAATTGTCTTGATGAAGTGATATACAAGGGTCAAGATAATTGAGTGTTCTAATAAAAGCATTCAAAGTTTATGTATTATATTTAAATGTTGTTTACTCTGCATTTATACTTTCCCTGGTACAGTGCATCACTGTTCTCCCCAGGAAGGCCCAGAACAATGAGATCTATGCTTTCCCCCTTGGACAGGTCTTGCTCGGGCAAAGTCCATTCCTAGCCAGACATACTCTTCAGAAGTTGTGACCCTCTGGTACCGGCCTCCTGATGCTTTGCTGGGAGCCACTGAATATTCCTCTGAGCTGGACATATGGTAAGAGCTAGTGCCAAGAAAATGAAGAAAATGTGAGTCATCCTCCCTGTGAGGGTTTCTTTATTGTCTGTGTTACATTTTTAATAGTAATTCTAATAAGAAAAATTATTTCTATATAGAAACATAAGGTGATTTGAAATACACATCTCATTTGATTTTTACAATTATTCTATAAGTTTTACAACTGAAGAAACTGAAATCCAGACAGGTCTTTCCCAAGGCATCTTCTGTATCCAATGCTCTTTCTACCACACCCTCCTCCTAGCTCTTCCCTTTAGTAATTGTCTTTTCTCCTCGTTCTCTGAGAATGCAACATACTGCCTACCACAGACAGACAGACAGACACACTCACACAGCTGCACCAACACACTCACATATGCCTAAACACAGTTCAGAGCCGGTGAAAAAGGCACAGTGATCAAGATCCAGCAGACCTGATGATGCCTGACTACGATGCCAATTCTTTTTCTAATCACTTACTCTGAATTCTCTTATCTTGAAAAAGTCCTATCTCCTCCTTGTGACTGTATGAAGGTAATAAACTCTCTCCATCAGGGGTTAAATGGGACTGTAGTACAAATATGAGAATCAGATAGCTGCTATCAGGTAGAACCACACAATTGAGGAGGCTGTCATGTTAATGGGGTCCATTAGTGAGCGTGTGATCTTGGGTACTTGTCACTCTAGAGTAGCACTGTTACATTATCTGGATCTTCTTCCTGCAGCTATCCCAGTCACTTGGGGGCCACAGTTAGATGTGTGACGACTTTACTAGACAACTCCTCAAAGGTAATAAGATATATGGACCTCTTTCAAGGTCTTAGAAGAGAGGGTTTTATAGAAATGCAAGTTCTGTTCTTAAAAATCAGTAAGAGATTTTTCTTTAAAAAATTAAATAGTGCTCTACAAAGTAACCTAAGCTTTTGGATTTTGCAAAGAATTGAGAAAGGTTACAGAAATTTTCCTCCAGTGTATCTAGAGTCATGGGTTTTTGATACCCAGTACCATTTCTAGAAATATCACCTGCTAGTCAACCCCTGCAGCTGTCAGCTCATACTGCTCTGCACTCTCACGTCAAAGGCCTTCAGCAGACTCAGGCACGTTTGGCTCTTAATGATGTCTTTCTGGTTGTGTTTCACAGACAAAGTGAAACTTCTACCGTTGATTTAAAATTTTTATTATAGAATATTTTAAACATTCAAATACACACACACACACACACACACACACACACACAATTTGTAGGTAGATCAGTTCTTTTTCAACCAGGGGCAGTTTTGCTCCCAAAGGAACATTTGGCAATGTCTAGAGACATTTTTTTTGTCACAGCTGTGGGGGTGGGGTGTGCCAATGGCATCTGGTGACACAGAGACCAGGGAGGCCGCTAAGCACCCTGTAATGCAAAAGGACAGCCTTCAAGCAACAAGTTACCAGCATAAAATGTCAGTGGTGTCAAGATTAGAAAAGCTGCTGTAGACGAAGCATAATACAGTGAACCCCACAACCCTGCTTCCCTGTGTAACTGCTAGAACACAGTCAGTACTGTCACACCTTCCTACCAACCTGTCTTCCACTGGAAATGCTTCTACCTAAATTTTATTTTATTTTTCGGTCCTTGTTCTTTTACCCCTTTTAAAAATAGTAGTTTCACATTTTATTTATATTTTTAAATTTAATTTTGTTTTACCTGCTTTTGAGCTTTTTGTAAAAAGAGTATTTGTAGAGTAGTCTCTGTGACTTGCTTTTTCATGCAATATGTTTATAAGAGTCATCCATGTTGATCTGGTATTCTCTAGGTAGTTATCTAGGGATAAATGTACCATATCCCAGGGTATATAAATGTTCACCCTCATAAAATAGTGCCAGATTGTCTTCCAAAGTGGTTCTAACAGTTGATATCCCCTTAGGCATACCTACACCAAGTTCGTAAGGTCAGAATTCTTAATTTTTGTCAATCAAATGTGTAGAATGGTATCACATTGTGATCTAAATTTGCATTCCCCTAATTACTAGTGAGGTTGGACATCTTTTCATGGATTATTTGCCATTTATGTCTGCTTTTCTTCTTTTCAGATTTTTATTAGTGCATATTAGTTGTACAAACAGGTTTCATTGCAATAGTTTCATACATGCATATGATGTACTTTGATCAAAATCACCTGCCCTCTTACTCTCTCTAATCTCCCTCCTCCCTTTATGAACAATTTTTAATGGATTTAATTATTTTTTTCATATATCCATATGAAATACTTTGACAATATTCCCCCTCATTTCACTCTCTCTTTTTGCCCTCCCCTCCCACTGGTCCCCACCTCCAAATGGTCCCCCTGTTTTTTTTTTTTTTTAGATCTAGGTTGAATGTATGAGATGAAACATGCAATATTCCTCTTTCTCAGTCTGTCTTCTTTCTCTCAATATGATGATTTCCAGTTCTACCATTTTCCTATAAATGACATGTCATTCTTTATGGGTGAATAATACTCCAATGTGTATATATTCCACATTTCCTTTATCTATTCATCAACTGATGGATACCTAGGCTGATTCCACAGTTTGGCTATTGCAAATAGTGCTGCTATAAACATGGGTGTGCAGGTATCTCTATTGTACGCTGACTTACATTCCTTGCTAGGCAGGCATTCTACCACTTGAGCCACACCCCCCAACTGTTCTTTATTTTGTTTATGTACTGTATTATGTTTATTGATTTGTGTATGTTGAGCCATCCTTGCATCCCTGGATTTAAGCCAACTTGATCAGGTATATGATCTTTTTAATGTGTCATTAAATTCAATTTGCAAATATTTTGTTGAAGACTTTTTTCTTTCTTTTGCAAGGAAATTGATGAACATAGATGGCATTTTCTTATGTGTATGTGTGTGTCTTTATCCAGTTTTGGTAACAGAGTACTACTGGCTTTATGAATTTGGTAGCATTTTTTTTCTTTCTATTTTATGAAAAAGTTTGAGGAGCATTGGTGTTAGTTATTCTTTAAAGTTCTGGTAGAATTTAACAGTATATGCATCTGGTCCTGGTCTTTTCTTTGTTGGGAGACTCTATTACAGGTTCAATTTTATTGCTTGTTATGGATCTGTTCAGGTGGTTTATATCCTCTTGATTCAATTTTGGTAGGCCATATGCATTTAGAAATTTATCCATTTTTTTAGAATATAAATTTCTGGGTTGGAGGCTTGGCTCAAGTGATAGGGAGCCTGCCTAGTAAGTACAAAGCCCTGAGTTCAAACCCCAGTGCTGCCAAAAAATTATATTTATATTATACATAAATATATATAATGTATAATAATAAATAGATATAAATATATATGTTCCATATATACAAAATGTTTTTGAAGTATTCCCTAATGGTTCTCTGAATTTAATTTGTGTTTGTTGTGCTATCCCCTTTTTAATCTCTTATTTTATTAATTTGAGTTTTATTCCTCTTTCTTTTGGTTAGTTAGGGTAAGCATTTGTCAATATTGCTTAACTTTTTGAAGAACTTTTTCTTCATTGATTATTTGTGTTGTTCTTTTAGTCTTCATTTCACTAATTTCTTCTCCAATTTTTTTATTTCTTTCCATCTACTGATTTTGGGTTTGGCTTATTCTTATTTTTCTAAGAGTTTGAGGTACATTGCTGAGTTATTATTTGGGATTTCTCTAATTTTTTAAATGAAGGCTCTCATAGTTATAAACTTTCCTCTTAGCACTGCCTTTGGTGTATCCCAAAAGTTCTGGTAAATTGTGTTTTCAGTTTAATTCCCAAAATGTTTTTATTTCCTCCTTTATTTCTTGGGTGACCCACAGACTGATCATTCAAAAGTGAATTGTTTAGTTTTCAGGTATTTAAATATTTTCCGAAGTTTCTCTTGTTATTGATTTCTAGCTTTATTTCATTGTGGTCTAATTAAATATAGGAAATTTTTTTCAATTTTCTCATATTTGTTAAGACTTGCTTTATGTCTAAGATATGATTCAATTTGGAGAAAGTTTCATGAGCTGCTGAGAAGAAAATATATTCTGCAGCTTTTGGATAGAATACTTAATACATGTCTGTTAAGTCCTTTTGATCTATAGTGTTGTTTAATTCTGAAGTTTCCTTATTGATTTTTTTTGTCTGAATGTCCTATTTATTGGTGAGAATGGGATATAAAATTAACACTATCATTATATTGTGGTTTATTTGTGCTTTTATGTCCAGTTGTGTTTGTTTTATGAAATTTGGTGCACTGACATTCATGTGTATATGTTTACAATTGTAACAATCTTCCTGATTGATTATTCCATTTATCTATATGAAGTGATCTTCTTTTCTCTTCTAATTTTAGTTTGAAGTCTGCTTTGTCTGATATGAGTAAAGCTATTCTTTCTTGACTTTGTGCTCCATTTGCTTGGAAAGTCTTTTTCAATCTTTCGACTGTAAGCATGTTTATCTTTGCCAGTGAGGTGCATTTCTCATAGGCAACAAATAGTCAGGTCTTGTTTTTAATCCCATCTGTCAGTTTGTGTCTTTCAATTGAGAATTGAGAACATTAATATTCAGAGTTACCATTGAAAGGTATACAGTAATTCATGTTATTGTGTTGTTTTATAATGTTTGATTCATTTCTTTTTGTGATACTAGCACTTAACTCAGGGCCTACACCTTGAGCCATTCCACCAGCCCTTTTTCATGAAGGTTTTTTTTTTTTTTTTTTTTAATTTTTATTGTTTTATTATTCATATGTGCATAAAATGCTTGGGTCATTTCTCCCCCCTGCCCCCACCCCCTCCCTTACTTCCAGCCTTTCATCCTAAGCCTATGCTTATTTCTGTCGGTAAGATGGGTCTCCTGTAAGCAACAAATTGTTGGATCTTCCTTTTTAATCCAGTTCATCAAACAGTGCCTTTTGATGGGGAATTAAGTCAATTAACATTTAAGTGTTTAGTACTGATAGGTATGTGGTGATTCTGTCATTTAGTTGTCTTAGTTGTTTGAAGGTTTGATTGTGTGTACCTAAG